TTCACTGGACTTCCTTGTAAGCGTATGGATATAATCCTGTCACTCACGATGTTGTACTTCAAGCTGGATCTAGAAATTACTTTTTTTACTATGAAGGTAACCCCATTTTTCCTTGTCTTTTCATTTCGAGAGTAATATATCATATGGTCATCTAACTCAAAATGCCCCATGCCAGTCCATCTCATTTCTGCAATGCCTAATATGTCAATATTTATGCGTTCCATTTCTTTCTTAACAATTTCTAATTTTCCTACATTCATGGTTCTCACATTCCATGTTCCAATCACTAGGGTGTGCTTACAACTGTTTCTCCTCCTGTACTAGTTTTAAAAATAATACATTGTTTGCATAAAGCAACAAGACAAAAACTTTAGTATGAAATCACCTCACCTGCAGGAGATATCTCCTTTTGTGAACTTCCTTGATATCTTCATATGCAAAAATGCTACAGGTTCTCTTGAGTTGACTGGGGCCTTGCCTGGCTCCTCGAGGGATAATTGGCTCATGCATACTACATGCAGCCAAGAGAGAAAGGAGAAAAACACAAACACAGCCAATAAATTCACTGCCCAACAAAGGATGTGTTATTTCTAACAATGGAATAAAGAGTGAGGGAATAATAGATGAGAATATGAAGTTTTAAAAAGGCCAAAACCACCATTAAAATAATCATTTGCTAGCTATGTGGAGAAGGCAGGATCTATTAGTGAACACAATTTTAAAACTCTCAATGTTATGGTGAGAGCTAATTTATCCACGTGGTACTTTTAGGGTCCTCATTACTTTATCTGAACCAGAAGAAAACAAACATTTTTAGCAAAAGAATAAATTTTAATATGGAATATTAACATGTTAATTTTTATACCAACAGTTATAAAATAGAATTTTCAGTATTTCTGAAGGGAGGAAGGGTCCCTTGAAAGGAGGCATTACTGTGGGGTTGATTGTTGCCTAAGCAATTAACAGGTACAGATAACTACATAGGACAGAATTTGAAATCTCTCCCAGAATGAACTAGAGGGACCATACCAACTTTCAACGATGCTAGGTGGTCAAAATGTTAGCGAGAGAGGCCTACTGACTTTCTAAATTTCAAGGTTCTTGTCATCCTTCTAGGTTTGTTTGTCCTCTGAGTTTTCTATTACCATCAGTATTTCATTAAAGGATTGGATGAAGAAAACAAACATGAATGAAATTTAACCTTTGCTTGTGTTTCAGAAGCAATGCTTCTATGATACTCAGAACAGGGTCCCATGCTTTCATCTGTTACAGTATTGGGAAGTATTCTCTACAACAATACATCTTCAAATGGAGCTCTGGTGGCCTAGTCGCAAAAAAGCTGTGCTGCAATCCAAAAGGTGTGAGGTTCAAATCCATCAGATGCTCTGCTGGAGAAGGAGGGGCAATCTCCTCCAGTGCCACTCAGATCCGACTCGATGGTACACAATAACAACAACAACAAGAATAACAGAAGAGGAAAAAGCTTACAAAACCCCCCAAACAACACATCTTCAGTGTATGTGCTGAAATTTTAAGAACAAATTACATAAGAGTCTGGAATGAGGGTTGCAGAGCGGAGTATACTTGGGCTGGGGGTGGGGACGTGTGGGGGTGGGGGAGGGGATTGTGTACCAATGAAGAAGTTTGTCTTTTGCTTTTCAAGGAGAGGAGCGAACTGAGAGTGGGATGGGTGGGGAGAAAAGTGCAACAATGAATGAATGGAATTCCAAAATCTCTGTAGATGTTCACTGAAATGAATAATAATAACAAATTTAAAAAAAATTTTTAAAAGAACAAATTACAAAGTCTGAATAAATTAAGAGACTGCTATTTTACTAAGTTGCAATCTAATACTACGAATGCACACAAGCACAAAAGTATATTTTAGTTTTTAAACTGATACACAAGGCAAAGACTTTTCTTTAATAGCTAGAAATAAATGATTATTACTTTTAAAAATATGTAATGTCAGAAGTACACAAGATAATAATACTACAAAAACATTTTTGGATTAAAAGAACTCTTTAAATATAATTTCTCTTTCCTAAACACAGACGTACTTTCTTTCTCTTCACTCATTTACTTACTTTGGAGGTAAGGTTTCAATATCTCTTATTTCCCTGGTTGCTGTCATTGTAAATCCATCAATCACATAAAAATGCTCTTTTCCAAAAAGCAGCAGCCCCTCACTGGTATCGAGGCCTTGGACTCGAGCACAGCGGTACATGTGTTGGATCTATAAAGGAAGTGATGGACATCCACTTAATAACAGCCTTTAAAAAAATCCACTTAATCTACTTTATGTAACAGAAGCAGAATTTTTTTTTTAAACATGTTTTTAATGGGCAAAGAATTTTACCATGGAATTACTCTATTGTGACAACCCCTCAGCTAAGAACGTTAAACCTGAGTTTAAGCAGATTAAAAGGAATCAGCTATTACTTCAACCATGATTTGCAGTGGACTTGAGCAAATCCACCCATCCAGTCTATGCATCTACCCAGTTTGTCCATCCAGCTCAGCAAATATTAAGAGTGCTTACCAAGATGGGTTCAATAATGTATACTGCACTGAAACAAAGGAGGGAGAGAACCGTTTAAAAGAGAGATATAACTGGGTATTTCTGTCATCACAGGAGACTAGAGCGAGGGCTACATGGTGGAGGGGACCTGGGGGAGGGTTTGTAAAACAATGAAAGAATCTTTTCTTTTACTTTTCCATAATTTTTGGACTCATGTACTTATAACTTGTTAGTCAAATTTGTGTCTTCTAGGTTGCAACACCCCCATGATACATCTTCAAGGATATGAACATGTACGGCCAAGCACAATCAATAAGAGTGCATCTAAATTCCAAAATCAATCTCCATAATAGTCTATGTGTTTCCTACTGCCAAAGGGGCCCTTTAGAGTAGTGAGAGAAGATCTTCACCCTGAAACCCACAGCGTCCCTTTTCAGCAGGAAGTAGCTAAGAGAATACGCCATCCCCTTTTCCTTATGACTCAGGGTGAAGTCTCTCTCAGGGAGGAGTGATAGGGAATGGCAAAGGACACACTGACAAAGAAGATTAATCAGAACTGGCTTTGACAAGCACTGTGGCATTTGGACAAGAACAAACTGGGAGGAGGGTAGAGAGAATAGTGCAACAATGAATGAGTGGAAGCCCAAAATCTCTGTAAATGTTTATGAAAATTAATAAAATATAATTGAAAAAAAAAGAAAAAAAAAAAGAGTGCTTACCAAAAACTAGATGCAAGTGTGCTATGTTGCATTATGGTCTTTGCAATCATAAGGAAAGATAGGGAAAAAGAAGTCTGGCAGGAAAGGAAGCTGAGGGATACATATAAAAAAATTGCAACAGGATTATGCCTCTTTGAGGCAAGATGACAGAGTGAGACAGGCCTGCAGAGCCTGGCTGCCCAGAATGGATTGTCAGTTCTATGTATGATCTATCAAGTTACTTAACTTCTCTGGGCCTCAAGGTTTTTATTTGTAAATTTCAACAATAACTCACTGGGTTATGAAAGTTGAAACAGTATGAGTTAGAAATTAGGAGTTTTCTCTTGTCAACTCATACATCTCTCTTTTTTAAACCATCTCCTGGAACTATGACTATGAAATCTGTCCCTATTTGCTCCCCACCTGGATTCTGCCTGCCTGGCAGACTGTCAGCCATTGTCAAAAGACAACCTTGGCAGAAACTGTATTTTCCTCTTAGAAGGAAGGAGCTGTTTAATCTCTCAATGTAAGTATTGTTTTCTTTCTAGAGTGAAGTCTCTAATTCTCAGCAAAAACCTTTCTTGCTTAAACTCAGTTCAACATGAGTCAAAGAAAAAAAAATCAACAACTAAATCAAAGTCAAACAAATGTCAAATAAATGTCAAGTCCATTTCCTGCACTGTTAAAGCTCAAGGTAGACAGAGAAAAAACTGCCCTTGAGAAATGAAAAGTTGTAAAACTGGAAGCACTTGAAAACATTTTCTAAAATACACCAAAGAAAGTGAATCTTAATGGCCATATCTGAACCATTTCAGTAAAAGGGCAGCATGATTCAGGGGAAATCCTGATGCACTTTAAAAAGAACTTGATTACAAGGTAATATATACTTAACAAAAAACCATTTATTTTATAAATGCATAGCTTAAAGGACTCTGAAATGGTAAAAATACTCATTGTGTGACTAATATTCAGATCATGAAATAGAACCTCTGAATTGAAATATATTACCTTACAGAGATAGTGAAAATAATACATGGATAGCAGGATGGGATATTTACTGTGTGACCACACAATTATCATTACCAACAGATTATATATATTTTTTTTCTAAAAAAGGTGGCTATTCATGATAACCTTACTGAATGAAAAACACAGAAATTAACTATGTGAAAAGAGACAAAGGAAAAGTTTAACATCATTACTGAGAACAAGGCCAAGGGCCAACTATGAAGCACACCACAAATTAACAGAATAGTTGGAGTTGAAGCTATTGAAAATTAAAATAAGTCCACAGAAGACGAAATCTGATGTTGAGTTTATCGCATCTGAATTTAGAGACCATTTTAAGAATAGATTAGATGCACCAAATACGAATGAAGAAGGTCTCACCTTACGCTCCTTCTTTCTTGAAGCCTAACATAATTTGTTATTAATCAAATAGTTGAATGCATTTGCCTAGTTAAAACACAAGTAAACATTTCTGATATTCTCTGCATTCAGGAAAGACCCATCTGGCACAGCCTTTTCTGATTCCAGCTTGAATTTTTGGCAGTTCTATGTTGATTCTTTTACCAACATTTTTATTCTGGTCACTTGCTATTACCAGTACTTCTTAATTACTTGAATGAGTTCAGACTATCAAAATGGGTAGAAATTTTGACTCTATCTCATCACAAAGTATAAAACATATACAATAAGGAAACCAATGCATCTGTCTAAATCACACTTCTGAACAAGGTTGTTAGGCCATGACATTACATTCCTCCCCGTTAGGTCATTAAAAGATCATTTCTAACAAAATCTAACATGTTATTGTTGTTTAGATGTCGTCCAGTCGAATATGACTCATAGTGACCTTATGAACAAAAGATCTGAACCCTGTTCTATCCTGCTCCATCCTCGCACTTCCTGACACACAAAAGCCCACTGCAGCAGTCATTGTGTCAATCCACCTGGCTGAGGGACTTCTTCACCTTCACAGCTCCTCCACTCTTCATGTCCCTTTCCAAGGAATAGCCCCTCCTAGCAGCATGCCCAAAGTATGTGAGGCAAAGCCTCATCATTCCTGCCTCCAAAAAGCATTCTGGCTGTCCCCTCTCCAAAACATATCTGTTTGTTCTTTTGGCTATCCATGGAATGTTCAGTATTTTTCTCCAACACCACAGTTCAAAGGAGTTAATTCTTCTAAAATGTCAGCATTGCTATTAATCTGTTGTTGTGGTGTATCACTGAGTCAGAACAGAGCCATGGTTGACCCTCCAGTGGGTTTTCTTTTTTTTTAAGTTTATTTTTTCCTTTTTTTTTTGTTGTTATTTTTTTTTTTATTTCGTCTTTGTCTTTTTCTTCCAGTGGGTTTTCAGAGGCAGTAGATCATAATGGAGTTGACTGCTCATGTTTTTCTCAGAGAGCAGCTGGTGTATTTGAGTTGGCTGTGCAAAAGATTTCTCTAACACATATTTTTATTAAACAGGTATAAAGAATACAAAACACATATTTTTAAGGAACACATTTTTATAAATTCACATATAACTCTACTCAAAAGTCATTACATGCTTTAATGTCAAGAATATGAATATAAAAGTTGTACACACGTAATTGGTATCATTCATGCAACCTATCAGTGATTGTCTATGAAGCCAGGTTATTTTGTAAACATTCTGTGAAATCCCAGAAGTGTAAAATGTGTTAAATCGAATGTGAAATAAATATTTCCACCCCAATAAATGAAACCTGTAAACTTACAAAAAAAAAGTTGTAAAATTCTGCTTCCTATGTAGTAGTCACTTTTCATGTGAACAGATGAGATAAAAATGTGATTATTATGATTTACATTTAAATTAATTAAAAGCAAATATAATCCTTGAAGAAGAATAAATTGTTTGAAGTCCAATAACCAAATATTCATTGACAGTCACTTAAGTATTTTTGGGTTGTTATGAAATTATGAAATAGAGATATGGAATAAAATAAGGACTTATAGGACACATTGGAAGCTATTAGATTTATGATTAGTTTAGTATAGAAAAGGATACTGATGAAAATTCATGAAGGAAGCAGCACATAGAGTAGAGTCAAGGTAGATTCCAAATATGAAGATCCTAATTGAACCAGTGATATAATGGATTATGAGCCTTTTGCAATTATGATATTAATTCCATTTCATGAAATGTAAAGTTCTGTAAAGTCTTAAAAAATCAGTTGTTTTAATAATAAATATCATTCTTACAAATGTAAAAAAAAAAAAAAAGAAAGAAAGAAATAGAACTTTGTCAAGAATCCAGAAGCCTTCCCTTTAGATCTCATGTTCTGGGATAGTTACAGATATTTCATTTTTAGAATATCATTATGACCAAGCAGGCCATACTGATTAATAGAGCTGTATATACTATCTAGACTTTAATTTCTGGTTAGTATATTTTAATCACTAAGATCTTAAACTTTTTACAAAGATGTAGTATTATAGGCAAAAAAAGAACATCCTTTAAAAATGTGACAGTTTATGCATTCATTCTTTTATTTATTCAACCAGTCCTTTCATCATTCAAAGACTGACTGTGTAGCTGTTAGGTGACAACAGTATAAGGTATTCGGTTTGGATAGGAATAAGAAGCAGTACCTCATTATTTATGGGCAGATATATTAAGACATATGATCTGATAAAATGATATAAACAGGAATAATATAAGCATAGCAGAGAGAGATCTAACCAAGCCTGAGATGACAACGTACTGCAGGGAAACTTCCATGTCTTAAAGACATCTAGGTTTATTTCAAATGAGAGTTGCTAGGAAAGAATAACCTACTTAGGTGAAGCAGAAGAGTAGAAGATGCAGAAAGTGTGAGAGAGAGCACACCAAAGAACTACCTTGGCAAATGTAAGCCATAGGATGCTGCAGGAGCTCTGGTGACAAGGCTGTGAGCCTGGAGACACCAGCGTGGTCGGGACGCTGTGGGAGCAAAATGAAATCAAGGCAAGTGTGAGAGCCTGTGTCAGACACAAGCCTTGAGGGGACAGTATAGATTTTGTTGAAGCTGCTTATAGGTGGCTATTGGAAGTAGTGAGTAGAAAGATGGCTTAATACTACATTTTATTAGAGGCTAAAACAATTTATCTGCAACCACCAGATCTGATCAATTTGTCTTGCAATTTGGCAGACATCACTTCAACAGAATCCTTTTTTAAACACAGTACCTTTTCTCCTTCCTCCAACAAGCGCAGGAGAGTTGCATTGTCTGTCTTCTCCTCTTCTTCTATGGAGGCTCCCTCAGCAATCTGGTCCTGGAGCTGCTCCTGGTTCTCCTCATCTCCTCCATCAGGGGCAGAGCGAGAGCGCTTCAGAGGAGGCTTGACGAGACCTATGGTAAAATAATGGAGATGGCTCCGTGACTTAGTGAATGCCATTTGGTGAAGCAGTTTCAGGTCAGAATCCTATATCCAGAAAAGCGTTATTAGAGGAAGAAACGAGATAATTCATGTAAAGTGCTTTGCTTCGTGAATAATATAGAATACGTTCTTGAAAAGTATCAGATGAAAAAAAAGTAAAGCACCAGACGATGATGACAAAAACAGAGCTTGGCATAATTAATGGAAAGCATGAATGGGACCATGGATAGCTATTACTGAGGAGGACCATGAGTGGATAAGTGGTCAATTACTTGTAGAAATTAAAAAGTAAAGAGGAAGTTATAAAAAAGTTATAAAGAGAACAGACCTACTTGGAGGGCATTCTGAAGCCATCAAAAGGCTTATTTCACAAGTAGCTATATGGTCCTTACATGAATGAAATGTGGTCAAACTGTCAGGTCATAATTAACAAGAATAGAATTATCTATAATATAGGACAAATAATTTGATTTTCAGATTAATAAAATGTCAACATTTTGATAACTTTACTGATAATTATAGGAGATGAAATGATCAAGTGATAACATCAAGCGAGACACCAAAGTATAGGATGCATTCAAAATATACTCTAAATTCCACAATTCATTAAATTACCATTCATTAGTTGTATCATGAGAGACCTCTCCAAATTACTGAGGAGCAATGATGTAATCTTGAAGACCAAGGTGCACCTGACTTAAGCCATGGTCTTTTCAATCACTTGGTATGCATCTGAGAGCTGGGCAATGAAGTACGACAGAACTGATGCCTTTGCACTGTGGTGCTGGAGAAGAGGACTAACAAAAAAGAACAACCAGATACGTCTTGGAAAAGGGGCAGTTAGTGCTTTTTAGAGCAAGGGTGATGGAATTTTGGTCATTTTGCTAGGAGAGACAATTCCTTAGAAATGGTATCATGCTTAGAAAGGTGGAAGGTCAGTGAAAGAGAGAAAGACCTTCAATGATATTGACTGACACAGGACTATAGCAATGGGCTCAAGTGTGTCAGATATGATGATGATGATGACACAGGATAGGACGGTGTTCAGATTTCTTGTTCATAAGGTCATTATGACCCGTATAACAATAAGAAGAAGTTGTACCATCAGCAATGCAAATCTGCTGTCAATTATCTATCAGTGCTTTACAAGAGTGAGGATCTCACTTTAAAGATTAAGTTGTGCTTGGCCAAAGCCTTTTTTTTTTTTTTTCAGTTCCTTCACATGTAAGTCCAAGTTATGCAAAGAATAAGGAAAACTGAAGAGTTTAGGCTCTTGAATTGTGGTGCTAGCAATGTGTAATGAATATACTATGGACTGCCAAAAGAACAAATGAGTCTGTCAGGGAAGAAGGGTGGTTAAGGTACTCCTTCCGGGCAAGGACGTTGAGACTTTATCTCCTATATTTTGGGCATGTTTTCAGGAGGGTCGAGTCCTTGGAAAAGGACATCATTCTTGGAAAAGTCAGAAAAAGAGGGGAGGACCCTCAACAAGGCCATGCCATACAGTGTCTGCAACAAGCGCTTCAACACAGCAGTGACTACAAGGATGGTACAGGGTTGGGGAGGGCTTTGTTCTGGAACCAGAGTCACTATCAATCAGTCACTGGAAGGTACCCAACAGTAACAGCAATAGCAGGATGGGCACTAATATCTGTGGTGTATTTCTGAGGTTTGTTTTAGGCTCAACTAGAAAATGAATTCCTGAGAAATTAAGGACCAATTATCTAAATTTATGTCAAGTGACTACCTTGTAGAATTCATCAATGTAGGCTTATATTCAGTAACTACAACTTTGAATATATCTCAGTAGTTTGACTCATGCAACATTTAAAAATGAAGGTTCAAACTGTGTTAAACTACTGAAATTTTCAAGAATTTTCTGAAAATCTATAGCCAGTATGCATGATTTTTTCTGTCCCAGCCATAAGAGAAAGAATAGGTAGATTATAAAAAGAGGAAACACTGCACACAAATTAGGAGTATAGTTTTGTTGTTGTTGTCGTCAATTATATACTGCTATTTTTAAAAAAATCCATAAAATCAGATCTCTAGTTTCTATTATTTTACAGATACTAACTTGCAAACTACAATTTTATTTATATTGGTAGGTGCTGTTATGCTGAATACAACAACTCACAGTGACCCTATGAACAATTCATCTAAACCATGTCCTATCCTATTCCATCCTCATGGTTTCTGAAACACTCAAGTCCATTGCCTCAGTCATCACATCAACCCACCTGGTTGAGGCAGTCGTTTTGTCATCCCTCCACCTTCCCAAGTATGATGTCCCTCTCCACCTAACCTCTCCGAGCAACATGCCCAAAGTATGTGAGACAAAGTTTCATCATTGTTGCCTCCAAGGAGCACTCTGGCTGCATCTTCTCCAAGACATATGTGTGTGTTCTTTGGGCAGTCCACGGGATCTTCAGCACTCATCTCCAACACTACAGCTCTTTTGTCATCCTTATGCACTCTCCAGCGCTCAGATAAATAGTGACTAGAAAGATCATGGCCTGAATCAGGCACACTTTAGTCCCTCAAACTGACATTCATTACCCCTCAATGATGTGGGGAGGTTCCAGGCTACTAACTTTCCCAGTGCAATATGTTTCCTGATCTCCTGACTGCTGGTACCAAGTGTACTGACTGTGGATCCAACTAAGATGAAGTCATGGACAGTCTCAATCCTTTCCCCATCCAACATGTTGGTTAGTGGTGAGGATTTTTATTTTCTTGACATCGAGTAATTTTATTTATATGACAAAACTTTTGAATCTATATCACATCAGTCATTAAAATGCTTAACTATAGATTCATTCATTAATTCATCAGAATGAATTCTAATTTTGTGCTAATCATGTGCTAAAGACTATAATATAAAAAAAACTGCTGCGGCACTGAGAAAATCTTAAGTTAAATAGCGATCAACTTCAAAGCAGACGAACTTATCACTGCTATTACTAGAACAGAGAGACAAGCAAAATTCAGCTTGTGAACAGAGGAGTTGCAAGAGAATTAGAAAAGACTGGTCTGATATTTCAGCAAAGTTTCCAGATGGGTAGAGAACATGGTTAAGTTGTAGGGAGAAGAAGGAAGCATTTTCAGCTAAGGGTAAACATATGTAAAAAAATACAGAATCAAAATCCATGGCCATTCTCATATAATTAATAATCTCATGTATATTCTACTAAACTCTTAAAGAGATTTGGATTTGGGATAATCCCTGTCAACTTCAAAGGATAAAGGGGATTATTCCAACTCTTGGCTAATATGCACTAATGGCACATTCAGTAGTTAATTTTATGATTCCATTATCACAGTGTTAACGTAAAATAAGCAGGTGCTATGGGAATAATGTCAAATAAATTTTTTAGAAAAATATTAGGCTAATAGATTGCTATGAGTCGCAAACGACAACAACAATAGATACATTACATTCATCCATAGACAATAAAGAAAAGTGAGTCTAATTCTGCTACAGAGATAAATTTTTAAGAAGGGTGAGATGGTATAAAATGTATGACTACTTTTAAGCTTGGCCCAACACCATGCTTGGAAAGGTGGAGGGTTGGCAAGAGAGGAAGATCGTCAATCAGATGGACTGACACAATGACGGCAGCTACAGGCTCCAGTGCTACAGATGTTGAGGATGGCACAGGACAGGCCAGAGTTAGATCTGCTGTTTAATGGGTTGCTATGAATCATACTTGATAGTACCTACTAACAACGTTTTCACATAAAAAATAAAGTACGCCCCAGAATGTTCACCCAAATGGAGGAGGAAGGCTGACCTTTGACTTTGGCAATTGTGTCTTCACCATGCTCTGGCTCCTGCTGGGCGGCTTCCCCTTCTGAACTCTCTACAATGGTGTCCTGGACAATGGCGGGATTGCCAGATGCTAGTCGCATGTAGTATTCTTTACTGTCATAACTTACAGCTCTTCTGTATCGAGCAGGTTTCTAAGAACAAAAGAAAAGGGCTTAGAAAATGATCTCCAAAGAAGAAAAGTTTTCTGATGAAAGATATAGCATCAAATAATTCTTTATGTGTTACTTTTTAAAGGGGACTTTTTACAGACTGTATATATGGACAGTAAATTCACAGACTTTTGGCTGATGCATGTTGTGTCTTAAATTCCACTTTTTAGAAGACACACACAAAACAAAAATATTAGCAGTTTTCTTCTTCCAAATGAGAAGTGAATAATTCCTGGTCCAAACCCAGCTTTTACACTAGTACAGTCCACTCACACTGCATGTCAGAAACCCTCCCATGTGGTAAAGAGAAGGCCCACTGCTGGAGAGACTGGAGCATAAAACACATGTATGTCTAGTCTGAGGAGAGTTTCAAGAGAAGCTGGTCAGGTTTAAAGGTGTATCCAGTCAGAGGAACAATCTGTATGAATGGATGCTTCAGATCTTGGAAGTAGTATCTCCGAAGTGTTCTCATTCCCTTTTCCCAGGTTTGCTGGAACTCTGGAAATGACCCAATCCTTCTCGGATCCTTCTGAAAGGTCGGATCCAAACTGGAGTTCACAAGTTTCAGCCCAGATGTCTGTTACTACAGCTGGTACCTCGGGCTAAAGAATTCTCATGAAGAATTTATGCACAAGAATATGATCAATAAACTTGATCAAAGATTATGATCAATAAGCAAGCAAAATGAATATGATAAGCATACACATATAAATCCATTTTGAAAAAAATTCATTATCTAGAAATGTCACAGAAAATATTTTTGTTACATGACTCAAGAATATATCAAGTACTAAATAACCTAAGGATTTTCCCCCTTTTTAATACATTCAATGAGAAATTAAGGTTGAAAATATTCTATAACATTTAAAACCATTGAGGGAATAATCTAGTCAGCTTCCTCAATCAGAATTACATTCAGATTTTGAGTTAACAAAAATGAAAACAATGAAATTTGAAATATGTCTTAAAAATATTCCTTTCTAAACATTATTTTCTCTGTCCTATTGGGATAGTTAATTTTATTCTTCACCTTGGCTAGGCTTTGGTCAAACACTAGTCTAGAATATTTACACATAAACAAATCACATGGATATAAGAAACCAGTTTTGCTTCTATAATGTGCGTGGGTTTCCTGCATTCAGTAGCAGGGTTAAGAGCAAAAGCGGAGCTTTTTCTAGGGAATATTATGCTTCCAGACTATTAACTGAGACCTTGTCAGAATTTCTTTTCTACTCCTATGTATCACCTATTTATTAATTTCAGAACACAAGATTTCCTAATTTCCAGTCTGTTTCCTGACCTATGTCAACATGATGAAGACGTTAAAAGACAGGACAGGGTTCAGATCTTTGTTCACAAGGTCACTATCAGTTGTGCTCAACTTGACAGCAACCGGCAACAACAGTCCTAACAATTGTGTGAGGCTTATTCTCAAAACCAATCCCTCTTTTAATTTCTGGCTGTCTAAGCCAACTTGCAGGCTGTTCACATTTGCCAGCGGCTCTGTGGGAGAAAGACCATCTTCTCCCATGCAATTTACAGTCTTTGAAAACTTGGTTTTAATTTGACAGGCATAGAGTTTTTAAACTGATACATATATTTTTATTTTAATGAATTCTAACTAAAGCAGAAAGCAACTTTCCAGAATGGAATATTTAGACATTTAGGCTGAAATGTTGAAACAAGTTTTGAATTGAAACAAAAAAGAGCCAAAATGAAATCATATGACCCTTTTTAGCTCCACATACAGAGCCAAAGAATGAAGATAGCTGTCAGCTACCAGAGGACTGACACACAGCAAAGGGAAACTTAAAACTGTTAGATGAAAGTATTAAAACAATTTTTAAAAAGTATCTCTACTATGCAAGAGAAAATCTAATGGGCGAACTAATAAGAGCATTACATTTAAAAAAGTTATTAACTTTGTATCATAACAATTCCTAGAAGTGTGTTAATTTTAATTATTAATTCAACCTTATTTATTTTTAAAAAGATGAAAGCATAGTTAGTGATGGGCAAGACAATGGATTAATAGATGTGAGGCTGCGTCTGCTTGCTTCCTGACTTCATAGACATATTTAAACTTCAAGTACAAGCATTTTCCTCTCAGTAACTCTGGGTACATTTTTGGTTCTTAAGAACTATGTATACAGAATCAAATCTTTAATATGAAAATATTTTTAAAAACTAAAGAATCTTTCTGGACACTGAAAAAAGTTATATACTTTATATTAATGGAAACAAAAAAAGTGATCATACTGCCAACTCAATGAAGTTTCTGTTCTTCCTGAAAGAAAAATAATTTTCAGAGGACTTGTTTTCTTTTGCAAAAATGCACTCTCTTCAGATTCTCAAGGAATGACATGAATAACTGAGGGGGAGAAAGAGGTGACCTTGTCAGACTGCCCATTACTAACATGCCTCTGAATTTGTTAGTTTATGTGTGAAACGATAGACATTTTATAGTGAGAGCAGCAAAAACTCAGCCTGTTAGTGAGTAGCATAGAGCCCCAAGAAAGAGTTCATTAGAAGGAAGCTAAGAAACAGGGAAGAGGTACACCTCTCAGCATGAATGAAACCACCGTTTAAATCCCAAGGACTGGACAGAAAGAGCAGACTGAAGCCAATCTTTTTAGTCAGTCTAGTCTACCATGCACTAGAGAAACTGCAAGTATTTTGCATTCTCTTTTGGGAATATGTATTTTACCTTTTGAGGACTGCTATCATCGGGTGGCTCAGGCTGTTTACTTGGGACCTCAGACTGAAAACAGGGTATTAAGTGTAGACACATCAGCAAAACAAAACCAAAAAACAACTTAAAGAAGAATACAACAGTAAAAACTTTTCTTGAGAATGGACAATATATTCACTCAAAGAAAACAGACATATCCTAACTGCATGAAATAATAACTTTTCATCTTGCAATTATTATTATTTTTTAAACTATTTTATTATTTTGTGTGTGTGTGTGTACCGTCAAATCAGATCTGACTGGTACAGGAGGAGGACATTGCCCCTCCTTCTCCAGCAGAGCATCTGGTAGATTCGAACTGCGCACCTCTGGGATTGCAGTGCAGCTTTTTTGCCACTAGGCCACCAGAGCTCCCTTTGCAATTATTTTTTCAGTTACCTAATTTTAAACCTTAAATATCCTAACATTCTCAGACCTACTTAACAAGACAAATCCATAAAAATAACACAGACACCACCTCCTATATAAGCCACTACTGTCACAGATGATTTTTAGGCAACTCTTGATAAGACTTTTGTAAGCAAAATATCTGAATTTTGGGTAACAGAACTTAATGTGGTAGTATCCCCCAGCTATTTTGTTTTGTGGTGTACTTACTGGTTTGAAGTATTACCTACGATATCCTAGTCTAGATCACAAAAAAACCTCTCCAAAAGTTCCAGACCTATTTCCCTTATCACTTTTCACAGTTAAAAATCCCAGGAAAGATGAAAGCAGATGGCAGACTGCAAGATCAGCTTCTAAACCAAAACTCTGTAGAGTATTTTTTTGAAGAAAGTGGCCCTGGTGACACAATATTAAATATTAAAATGGCCGTGGTGGCACAATATTAAAGTATCCAGCTGTTAACTGAAAGGCCAGTATTTTGGATCCAACAGTTGCTCTGCAGAAGACAAATGAGGAGGCTGTCTGCTTCTGTAAAGACTTAAAAGTTTTGGAAATCCTCTGAGTCAATTTTATCTTACAGGGTCATTATAAGTTAGATTTTACTTGATAGCAATGGGGGTTGGTTTTTGTTTTGGGTTTTTTAAAAAAAAAATATATATATATATATTCCTTTTTAAAGAACTGAGCTGTCATTTAGGGATGCTCTAGTGGCATGATTCATGGGGAGCTGAAATTCTAACCCAAAGACTGAGTTTCCAGTGGTTCAATTCCACCAGCGACTCCTCAGAAGATGGGCAGCCTGCTCTCATGGACATTTACAGCCTTGGAAACCTGATGACAGCTGCTGTGAACTGAAGCCGATGAGCTGGGAGAGTAAGACTGAGTGTGAAGCAGTTACTCGATAATGACTAGTGTGAAGCAGTTACTTGATTATGACTAGTGTGAAGCAGTTACTCGATACTGACTAGAAACAAATTTGTAATCAACTTGACTTTTACAGAAAACATTATGGATTTACAAGAAGGCAAATTTTACTGAGTTTAGTACTGGTCCATGTAAACATACAAATAGCTTATATTGTTGCTGTTATGTGCCAATGAGCCATCTTTTACTCCTAAGGACCCTATGTACAAGAGCCCTAAACCCTGCTCTATCCTGTGACAATCTTATTGTCTCTAACATACCCACCCCAATTACCCCAGTCCCTGTATCAATCCATCTCACAGAGGGTCTTCCTCTCCTGTGCTGGCCCTCTACTCTCCCAAGCATGATGTCCCTCTCCAAGGACTGGTCCCTCCTTGTAACATGTCCAAAGTATGTCAGACGGAGCTTCAGAATCCTTGTCTCCAAGGAGTAGCCTAGTTTCAGATAAAATAGACCCAAGAACTATTACCAATTTTCCTGCCAATTCAGTTCCTATGTGGAGATGCACGACTACAGTAAACACAGGCAGGCAAATTGATCTCACAAATGTTAGCTGCTTTAACCAAAACAAGAGACTACTGGCTTAAAAACTGGAAATATCTCACAAGGATTAGTGAACTTTTTTTGTTAAAAGTCAATGTTTTAAAAGTAAAAGTGTATCTTAGGTATAAGGCCTCTTTTAGGATTGATGGAAATGTTCTGAAGTTAGGTGGTAATGATTGTGAAACTAAATTTACTAAACTACTGAATGATGTAACGAGGTTAATTTTGTGGAATGTGGCAGTAAATGGAGGAATTTATTATTTTAAAACATACACATTATATCAAACTTTTAAAAAACAAAAACTGAACTCACTGTTGTCAAGATGGAACCAATTTGTAGTTGACCTTCTAGCAGGTTTTTATTAAATGATTTAGTTTGTTTATTTTTCATTTCAATGAACATCTACAGAGATTCTGGAATTCCATTCATTCATTGTTGCACCCTTCTCCCCACCCCCGTTTGCTCCTCTCCTTGAAAAGCAAAAGCAGGTTTTTAGAAGCCATAAACAACACAAGAGGAAATGGTTCATCTTTCTATTGTGGGCAAATGGTGGATCTGAACTACCTTGTGTTCAACTGTCAGTACAAACTAGCTCACCAGAACTCATTTTACATCAACTACTCTTAAACCGTGCACTATTCAATGTTCTTTATTTTGATAGGGTTTAATTTATGCAACTATACACATTTATGAAAACTCTGTGTGGTACACTTTAGATCTGTGTTATTTCAATATATTTAAATTTTGTTTCAACTGAAAAAAATTAATACTGAACACTAATTAATGCTATGCATGTGATGTGTTTACTGGTGATGGGTACAGATTTCTGTAACTCAGGTTAAAATTAATAGAAAAATAACAGATTACTGGATAGACACATGATAAATCTGTATGACAAAACAGACCAATTCCATTATCAAACTCAATGTTGATGTTCAGTATATTCCATCCACTACATGTCTCTCTAACCAGAATGGGGGTAGAGTCTTCCATGAACACTTTTATACTTTCTCTAAACACTATTAATTTAAAATCATTGATACTAGTGATTAAATAAAACGAAAAACCAAAGAATATGGATATAAGACATAATTTACTTATTGATCCACTGAGTGACTGGGCTTCTGATATCATTAACAAGGAAAGCATTCAACAGCAAATGTACATGTTACACAGTTATAGTGTTAGCATAGTTTCTATTCTTTTTAAAAAATCATCACTTATTCTAACATAGATATTTGCAGAGTCCTGATAGCACAGTGGGCTAAAAGCATTAGCCTGCTAACTGAAAAGGCAGTAGTTTGAACCCACCAGTTGCTGATATGAGGCAGTTTGCTTCTGGAAAGATTTATAGTTTTGAAACTCTAAGATAGTTTTACTCTGTCCTATAGAGCCATGATGGGTTAGAATCAAGCAGATGGCACAAAGTATAGTATCTTGTTGTTGTGTGTCATTGAGTTGGAAATGACCCACAGCTAATTTTAAAGGGGTGGTCAGAGGCTGTTAACCATATGGGAAGAGACGTCTCATCCTTCTCCTGTGGATTTGAACTGCAAGCCATTGGGATGGCAGTGCAGTTTCTTGCCACTAGGCCACCAGAGCTCCCTATAATACTACTGTTGTATACTGCAGAGTCAGAATTGACTCATAGTGACTGTCTGGAAGGTTTACAGAGTCAGTAAATCACACAGGAATTGACTGCCCATTTTTCTCCCATGGAGCAGATGGTGGATTTGAACTGTGTACCTTTGTGTTGGCAGCTCAACTCCTTACCACTAAACCACTAGAGACATCTATTGAGCTTTATATTATACTATAGTGTTAGTGTAGCTCATATGTTGTTGTGTACCACTGTGTTGGAAATGACCCATAGCTGATCTTCCAGTGGGTTTCCAGAGACAGTTAATCACATGGGAAGGGAATGTATATATCATGTTGTTGTTATGTGCTGTCGGTTGCCTGTGACTCATAGTGACCCTATGTACAACAGCTCCAAAGCCTGCCCTGTCCTGAGCCAATCTCTGACACACCTACCTTCACTGCCCCAGTTATGGTGTCAATTCATATCATCTGGGGTCTTCCTCTCCTGTGCTGTCCCTCCACCCTTCCAAGCATGATGTCGTTCTCTATATAGACATCTAACTTTTGCAAAGTAAGGATTTCTAGAAAATAATTCAATAGACTCTTCAATGTTTTATAATTCTGGAAATAAAAACTCCCAAACGAACTGCTTAGCTTCTAAAGTTTTGTAACGTAAGTGAATTATGGTGGCATAGTAGGGAGTTGTACTGCTAACTTGAAAACCTTGTCCCTGTGGCGCCTCAAAGCCAACAGCAGCTCTGGAGGAGAGAGATGGGCAATCTGCTCCTCTGTGATGGACAGCATCAGCAGCCCAGCTGGACGGTCAGCTATGCTTCAGTCCTGACTTGTTAGCAATGAGCGATATATATTAAAAAATACTTAACAGCAGCAATAAGAAATTCTTAGGAGTTATTGATCTTTTTTTGCCTCTGAGAAGCCTAACATTAATAGGTAGCAAGGTAAAGATTTTTATCCCTATGTTCTTTGAAAAGAACAGTAAATATGTTTGAGACTATTTTTCTGTGAAAATAAGGAGATGTCAGAATAAAAAATAAAGTTTTAGTATGTGATTAAAATTTTTAATAAATGGTATAAAATGGGATCTTATTATTGCTCCTGAAAATTCAGGAAGCAGATTTTATACTTGCATCATCTCAATCCTAGGAACATATCTTAAAACCATTCATAACTAATATTAGAACATAAAAAAATAGGAATTACAGTGTAATTTACTGTAGCAATTGTTAGCATTACCTGCCCTCTAAGGAAATGAACAGAAAAAAAGATAAATCACTTTCCACATGTACCTTGTTTGCCCAAGAAATAAGTAACAATTATTATTTTTGCTTCACTATAATGGCCTTGTGGTAAGAAGTTCTGCTGTAATCCCAAAGGCATGAGGTTCGAGTCCGCCAGCTGGTCTGGAGGAAAAGGATGGGCAATCTCCTCCTGTACAGTTAGCTGCTTTTGAAAACCTAATGGAGGGTCAGCTATGGGTCAGTTCTGACTTGAGGGCACACAACAATAATAATTTTAGCTGATAAATTTCAAAGTTTTGAATTCTGTAGACATT